ACAATCAAAAAAATTGATTTTATGATTTTCAATTTCTTTATTTTGGACATATTGATTTTTATATAAACACAAACAACTGAAGACAAATTAATTAATTCTTGCAATTTGACGTAAATTCAATATTGTTAAGGTCAGTACTCGTCCTTATGTGCTAACATTGAATATATGTTTAGAATAGAGAAAGCAAATTATTAAAGTAATCGTTCGAATAACTAAATTCGTTTTTTAATATATTTGCAAAAAATTGTATACCTCATAAATGTATAGGTATTAATGTAATCTTAAATCGATTGGAAAAATGACTTAAATAAACAAACAAATATCTGATCTTCGTGAGCCAAAATTAAACTCATGTTTGCAACCTATTGGAATTAAACAAATAAGCAGTAAGCATCTTCAGATTTTCTGGATATGTATTGATATAATTTTAATAAAAAACGGTCCAGTAGTTTTTTGAGTTTACATATAGGGCAAAAAAACAAATAAACATTTATTTTTATCCAGTACTCATTGACAAAATCTCGAAAACATACAATCATTTTGAAGAAGACAATTCAGACATTTTTGTCTGGTAGACAAACACTAATTATTTTCACATTTAATCCCATTTGTTCCCATTTGTTCCCTTTATTAATGAACTTATTTAAATTTTAAATCTTTTCATTTTTAGAGACCATATCATTCTAAGTGATGTTTATTTTTTTTAAACCACTATAGGGTGTCCAGTAGGTATAGTGGTGGTATAGACTTCGTTTTTGAAAACTGCCAACTGGCATATTAATTTTTGATGATGGCCCTGAATCAAAATTCCAACGATTAGTTTCTACATTTTAATATGATTTGCTTATAATTTACTGCCATAAACAAATCAAAATTGTTGTCATATCTGACGAAACCATGATAATAATTTACCTATATCGTAATAACATAATAATATAATTCATAATATTATTTTACCAACTACTATGTTTGATAAAATTGAGATTACATTCAATATTACAAGGCTGGTCTACTCGTACTAAAGCCTATATTATAATATATGAAATATGAGTCGTAGGGTTCAAGAGAGAATAATAAATACACTCTAAACCAAATATTAATGCAGCATTGTCCTCATAGTACAATACGAGTTAAATGACTTCAGAAAAACTACTCTTTTGAATTTTGATTTAGGCGGACAGATTAAAAATCACCGTGTTTAAATATAGGTAGGCACTCAAAACGCAAAAAACTTTTTAATTCGAATAAATTCATTGTTAAAGTAAAAAACACCAGAAATGATCTAGCATGGAGAATCATCCCATACACAACAATATGTATACATATTGTGAGATTTCGGTCTTTTTAGGGACTTACTTTCCACCCATGTGTTCAGGGGAACACTGACCACATGACCTATAAACCGCACCGCGTGTTGGCTCGAGAGTCAGGTCGGTGGAATTTATAGGTTTTTGTTAGTTGTTACACGCAGTAGTTAATGAAAACCAAAGATTTAAAAAAGGGGAAAAGAAATATTTTAAATAACAAAATTAGAATTTTAAAGGTAATTATAAGATTTATTTTACACGGGGCACTAAATTTGCATAGCAAATAATACAAAAATATTAATAATATCAAAAGGTACATGGCAGTTACATTTTAAATATAATATAAATTTTGCACGTGGCAAGGTACACAAAACAGGGGAAGTAATTAATAACATAAATTTGGCACATGGCAAAATCATAAGGAAAGTAGTAGAGAAAAATGCTAGTAATAATGCTACGGCTCCGACAAGCGGTTACCGAGCACGGAATGGTTAGGTAGTCATATGTCGGTATCTTACGTATTAAAGGAAACGACCCGCATGACGGTTACCGGGACACCTTTTAGGAAAAACGGAGCATAAGTAAAAACGTMATGATAGTGATACATAATCAAAATGAAAAAGGGAAAAAATAATACTTGATTTTACCGTGGCACCTTTTAGGAGAATCGGAGTGTAAAAAAAAAAATAATGGTGATGCATAAACAAAATGAAAAACAGGGGAAGGTTGGGAGAAAAGTAATACTTGACGACTGCTGGTGGCTTGAGATGTTGGCAACCGGTGGATAAAATAAACAGGTATGTCAGCAACTTTATGGTGCGCACAATATGGCGGCCGGCTTGCGCGTGTTATCAATTATACGTAATCAGTAATCACTTATCATCATATCTCCCATAAGCATGATCTTAAATTTAATTTTAATTTTATGATATTAATCTGAATGTCGCTATTAGTTAATTATCTAATAAATATTACCTCATAATAGTTATCTATGATGTGGGGTATGTATAGTCTATATTACAATATTACTTAAGTTTATTTCATTAAGTTATGAACTTAAACTATAATTTATTCAATAACTGTTTAATATTAATACTTTAATAGTTTAATGAATTACAATTTACATTTTTATATTTTATTTTACCTTATCATGAATAATTTGAGAATTTTGAGAATCATATTACCATGATAAATGATAACACTTCAGCCAATGAAAAGCGGCGCAAACCGGACGCCATCTTTGCGCAAACTCGTATAATAACCGTAAGTTGCTGACATACCTGTTTATTTTATCATGAAAAGAGTGTCGAGTGTCGAGACGTCGTCGGCTTGTCGGTGACCGTTGTCGAAATGTTGATAGAGTGGGACGTTTACGGTGTCGCTTTTTGCGGGGATTTACAATATTAATGGGCTTCAGACGTCTTGTCAGCATGTACCGGTGTTCGCGACCGTATCGTCAAAGGTGCAAGTAACCACAGCTGCTGAGGCAAGTCACCGGACACCACGTTGAATAGGGGTTGGGGGACAGTGATTATATAACATGACTATTGTTCGTCTTAATCGCAACGCGCCATTGTAATAATAGGAGTACCATTAAAGTAATGGTCGCACACCGATAGGTATGGTAATAATATTATTGTGGGGAAAGGTGTGTTCAATGACCAATGATATTAATGGAGGCCTATAAAATTCTGTGACGTYACAATATTATATTATATTATAATATTATGAAATTTAGGCAGCTCCGATTAGAATGTAAGTGGTATCGATGGCGGTGTTCAATGAGTGCAGTTCACACGTGTCATCGAACAACTGTCGTGCGAATCATCGACCGTTTATACCGTAACTGCCGTCAGATATTTCGCCTCCACTTCACCCCCACCGGATTGACCCATCGACATCCCGGAGGTGACGGAAACGCGTACACATTCACCGACAATATACCTTTTTGGCCAAAAGCCCGCGGGTACCATTCCACGTCGGTGCGTATAAGTAGATAATGTTATTTTTACGGTTTTGAAACGTGTGTTGAGTGAGTTTAGACGGCCCACCCGTTGCTGACTTTCCCGCACGGTTTTATTGGCACCTGTCCCGGACACGAAATGACTCTCCGAGAAAAATAATTTAATATAAACTGCGCCGACGGATTTTCGATGACGAAACATAATAAAACCGCACTTCGTTATTTGTCAAAGTGTGGAATTAATAAAATACTACCGAGTGAGCCATTTTAAACGAAATATACACATTATTTAAAAAAAATAATCCCCCTATTAAAATGTTTGGAAACATTTATTTTACACGATTTCAAGTCGTCGTAAAACAAAATGTTTATAAAAAAATCTACTTTTGTTATGTTTTACTGTTTTTTAATTTCACATCCTAAAGCAGCAAATTTCTTTGAGCTCTTCGATGTATGTACTTAAAAAAATTGAATTATCGACTAGTTATGAGTATAAGTATATAAGAGGTGAGAAGTTGACCAACTTTTTGCCGGGCACTTACCCCTTTCCATTCCATTAATCCAATCTTGAAATACTTATAAGTTATAAATTATTATTGTAGATTTTTTATAGTTCCAAGAACTTAAATAAAATATTAAGTGGCGATCACTGATCAGATCTCTTTTTTATGTTTTGTTTAAATATAATCCGATTGATTAATTCAAATACAATTATTGAACGATATGTATATTATAAATGCCTATTTTGGTTTCTGAAATAGTTGAACTGATATCGCTGCACATAATATCCCTTTTTATTTTAAACTGACAACAATTTCACAAATGATGAAATTATACGAGTACGGTAGAGAATAATAGAAAGTATTTTTCTAAAATTAGATCTCGAAAATATTTGTTTGAAAAATGTATTGAGTAGGACAAACATCGTTTGGACACTTGAACACCATATTATATATACATATATATATATATATATTATATATGTGTGTGTGTGTAATCTAAACTTTATTCTCTAGAAAAAATATCATCCTAAAAAGAATATAATAAAAGAATCTGATATTCCAATGCATTGTGAAATACTCGAAATACTCAATGGTTTTTTATTCCAAATTATTATTAGCTCGACCATTGTGATGATGTTATTTGATTTCATAACGTTGAAGATTTCTTACTGAAATTGATATTGTGGGTCAGACAAGAGTGTAGGTATGTCTATGAAATTTTATATGACCATAAAGCAAAGTTTTTTCCTAAAAAAATCGAATATTGAACTCGATGAATAATTTAACATTGACATTTTCTTCGTGGAAATTGTCAAGTTTAAGTGACGTTCGCATTTCAACCAACCCTATTGTCTAATTAAAAGCCTCAATTATACGTCTTTAGTCTAAAGTTTTTATATACATATATATTACAGTCATTGAATTTGTATTGTAKTATTACGGTAAGTTCTACTAATCAACTAATCCTCAATAGGATACTGTAATTCAAAGTGAACAATACTCAATATTACTTTAGAGTGAATTTCTCGATAAATATGAAAATAAACTAATRTACCAAACCGATTATAATATTAGCTCATCATTTTCATTTGTATAGGTATAGTTGGGTTTATCTAGAGACTTATTGTTGCCATAGCCTAAATTTCAAATTCAAATTAATTGAAAAAAAAAATGATAAACGATAATGATTGCATATTATGTTTTGATATTGAATACAATTATTTTCAGGTAATATTATAAACATTTTACGGAAACCACAAGAGGTGCTATTAAGGCGTATCATCATATTAAATACAAGAAATATACGTGACTTTGTCTGTTGTCATGCAATGGTGATGTCAACATCGTCGTTGAAATACACATTTTCAGTAAGTGGAGTGGTTTGTAATAAGTAGATGCGAGGTAGCTAAATTCATTTTTACGAAAAAAATTAAAAATTAATTCATTAATTCTCATTATAATTAATATCGTGTGGCATGAGCATGAGCAGGTACTTACTCTTATTTTCATGAAATATTTTAGAGTGCCTTATTCTCGGATTTTTCTATTTTTTTTTTTTATGGTATTTAATAATAACAAACTTTCTAGAAACTCAAGTTTTTGTTCGTGTACAAGGATTCAAGATTTACGACATTTATCAATTTTCTTGATAGCTAGTCGCGGACACCACATAATAATATAATTAAATTATTGTTTACATTCATCATTTGTTTTGATAAAATATCCTATAAATCCTGTGATTAATAATATTTTAAATTTTTGTATCAAAATTAAAATTATTTAAAAAATAATCGACTCGTAACAATATATGTTTATGAATTTAGCATTATAATAACTAAATTTATAATTTTAATACAGAAGGTGTTTTATTCGCATTATAAGCCTAATATGTTAAAAGCATTATTGTATATAATACGTGTTATTGTTATACCCAAACTATTGTTATATTTTATTGCATGAAAATACTTATAAATTATTCACAGAACAATATTATCTAATAAAATCTCGTTTTATGGATACCTAAACGTAAATAAACAATATACCTACCTTTATGCAGAGTAATTCACCAAAAATACCCATCCGCATTTTCATCGAAACAAAACATTTATTCAAATTCCAATTCTTGGAATTTTTTATGTATTCTATTAAGACTATATTTTTAAAATACTTAGGTTTTTTATACCGTTTAACGAGTATCCTGTTTAGAATATTCAAACAAAAAATATCCAAATGAGTAGTTTCTGAGTTATTAAAATATACATTAATGATGAAAGGGTACTATAGTAATGGTTTAACAAAAATATAACACTATGAGAAAATTTTATAGCGGAAACGTTTTACAATACATGCTTTAATGTTTAGAACGATTGTAAGGTTGAAGTTCATAAGCGCTTGGCGTTTAATCATGGTATAAGACATAAAAAGTTTAAAAAAGTCAATCGTTATAGTAGATGGCCGCAAAAGTATAAACAAAGTCGGCTACGGTTTTGGTTAATAGAGTTAAACAGACCAAACGCTGGATCAAGGCATTTGCAATGTTTGCAAACATTTTAGGCTTCGTTTAGCAAACAGACAATCCGAATTTCTCCGTTATCAAACAATTGCGACGTTTTTCGCTATAGAATTTCCTCCGTGTAATATTGAATACATTTTAATAAAAAAGACATGTTCATGTATATTTTATTACACCAGTACAATTTTAACAAACTATAAGATGCTGATTAATTAGTATTTATAATTCCAATAATTGTCAAATCATCAGATCAATCTTCCAAATCTAATAGCTACCTATTCAAATGGATCTAAATTATCCTTATAAGAAAATACAATGAATCGAAACCAGCTCATTAGAATTTTGATTTCAATAAATCATAATTTTCAACAAAAGTAATCTGCTTAATCATTCACATGGAAAAAGGATTAGTTTTAAAGTTTTAAAACATTATAACATCAAGAAAACATTCCATTATTATATTTTTTTTCTTGAAAAAACAACCAATATAAACAAAAACAGAAAAAAACCAATAAATGTATAGAAACATAATGTTTGTTTACGCCTTAAATAAACGAATTAAATATAAAAACAAATGAATATATTAATATATTTACAATTTAGGTATTTCATACAATGTTATGAGTAGGGCTAAGATTTTGTAGCATTTGCATTTCCTTTCATAGTAATCCAAAACATACTTAATCAAAAACAAAATTCGATTCATACATCACGAAGTTGATATTCATATATACAATTTTGTTTTTACATTTGTTTGCAACTTCTTGTAATATTCGTAAATAAATGCATTTTTGGTACTTATGTATCAGTTTATTAGATTTTATACTTAGTTTTCGTTAATTATACGCATATTCGACATTTTTAGAGCATTTGCGTACATATCTATCTAAATTATTTATTTAATTTAATTAAATTACTGTCTATATAATATACTTCGTTATTTCGCAGTGAAACATTATATTTGAAAATAGAATCTTCGATTTTGTCAAAGTGATTAAATTAACTAGTGGAGAGTAGTTATTACGTTATACGCTGACTGTCTAGACTTCAGTTTCAATGAGAACGATATTAATTAATTAAATTGTATTTAGTAGTTCTAAGAATTGGTTTTTCTGAACATATAAAAATGTGTTCAATGATAAATTATTTTTTGATATTAAAAATGTTTTTCAGCAAAACTTATACATTTTCAAGTAACTTTAAGTTGCATTTTTCTGGTTAAAATGCAATTTTTTGAAGCATTATTGAAAATTGTTTAATGCCTTCATTACCTATAGGTTTTCAGCGCATCACTTTCCTAGCTCTAGTCATTATAACCTTATAGGTAATTAAATATTTAAAATTCTATAGTACATTATAAGGTTAAAATATAATGTGAATCCAGATACAAACAATTCGTAAAGAATTTACTAAAGATCAGGTATCACATTTTTGTATTAATCGTATTACGTTAAGAACGAATAATACCTACACATTTTTAGTAAATATATCCATTACCACCACATCGGACATTGAGTGATATTTCGTGGTTAGTATATATCACACACAAGTATTATACTATAATCAATCTTGTATTAAAGTGTATAAAAAAATTACAATCAACTTAATTAGCGTGCTGTAGAACGCATGGTTTTTGGGGACAGATTTTTTGCTTCAAAACTCTTAACGCGATTAATGGATTTCAATTTTAACTACACACAAACAAAAAACCAACAGTGTGCAAGTATAGTATATAATATATGTATTGAATAATAGAAAAAAATCGAGTACCCAAAAACAATATCCAATTAGTCAAAAATGAATATGGTATATGGAGTAATCGCCAAACACACTCACCCAAATTTTTCCTAAATGTATTTAAATTTTGAGTTTTGGATTTTTCAAATCTACTTAAACAATTTTTAAAAATTCTTGAATTTTTTGTAATTATTTATGAAGCATGTTGTGTGCCGATATAAACTTTATAATTGATAATTCTTTTTAAAATTTTAACACACATAATTCAAAATTCGAAAGAGTAGTATTTTAGTTAGTTAAATGCTTAGAGTATAAGGATAATAGTCGTTAAAAATGGTTTAGAATTAATATTAATTACCTTTAAACCATTTTTACAAATTATAATTGTTGATACATTAATATTAATAGTTATAATTTTCAAATCACCATAACTCCCATATTATCTTATGGACCCATTACCGAAGACATTTTTTTCCTTATTACTACAGGACACTACTTAAATAGTACAACAAATCTCAAGAACTTAAATTATATCGTCTTAAAGTATATTTAAAAATTCCAAAAACCAGATTTTAAATAATTTCATTATTAAAGAAAAAAGGGTGAGCAATGTTTCCCTCTGAATCACCCTGTATACGACGAACACAACTGCAATCCGTCACCTACAATTTATCGGTCATGTTCTATTTTGTATCAACCTTATATTATACCTATTTTGTGATTTAGTGCAATACAAGAAAATATGATACTGAACTATAAGTAATTTTTGATGATTACTGCGCCTGTAAWCAATATTCACTTGACGTTATTTTTCATGCGGATGTGTACATTACGTTTATTATATAGGCACTTCGGAGAAAAACATAATATAGTTGAGGAAATAAACGGGGGAATAGTGTAATTCCAAGTATTTTTATATCGACGAAACGACGTAGGAAGAGTATTATAAAATATAAAATAACACCTATTATTGCATACTTCTTACAGCTATATAATACCTACGTAGTGAAACAAAATATAAAAAAATATAATATATAAATACGTTATTGTTGTACCCACAAAAACATAATACTACACTGAATGGTGTTCGCAGTTCATCGGGGAAAAGAAAATAAGTCGCATAGAATTCGACGGGTGTATAACAGGCAGTGGCGTAGCCAGGAATTTTGTATGGTGGGGGGGGACTAAGTCTCACAAAAAAATTCAAAACATACAAATAACATATTTATTTTATTTACGTTTTTTTTTTTAAATTGTATACATGTATAAACATTTTTATTTATTTATTATGCCTACAGGCTCCAATCTTTTAACTGCATCCTTCTTGGCTATAGCCTACAATAGCTAAAATAAACACAGTCACTGGGGGGGGGGGCTATAGCCTTCTTAGCCAAGGGGGGCTACGCCACTGATAACAGTTATCGCTTGGTCACACCGTAATAATTATTATTATTTGCTTACTCATAAGTAAAAACTGGATATAGTTGCACTAAAAATATGTTGAAATTGCAATGAACATAATACTATAATTGCAAAATAAAATCATCTAATTGCTCCAAAAGAAGTACGAATTGCCCTATAAAATATATTCTTAAAATTTTACAAAATGTATAATTATTATTTATTTTCTTACAAACATAATAGACATATACAAATTATAAAATAAATATAACGTAAAATGTACAAAATTGCAAAAATTGCAACATAAAACTAAATAGAAAGATTGCAATTAATACAAATCGTGAACATATTTGATCAAATTTGATTTATCTTAAATGCAAAAAAAGTTGCAATATCAATTAAATCCGGTCTTTACTCATAATTAATGATAATTATATTACATTGTAATTTTTGTTACGTTATTGATTGCTAGAGCCGTCTTTAACCTTTTTGAGGCACTGGGGGCCTGGGCAGTGGTTTAATGGGGCCCTTACGACTTGGACAGAACACTGTTTTTATCAAAACAGGTAAATAGTGAGGTAGTAGATAAGAAAATGTCTAGATTAATTTAACTGTAAAGTATTATTATTATTTTTATTTCACATTAAATATAGGTAGAATACAATAAATCTAAAAATGATTTTAAAATAACCCAGAAATGTTGAACATTCTATTTTT